TACAGTTGCAAGATCATCTACTGAAGCAGAATATAAAGCAGTGGCTATTGTAGTGGCTAAAGTAAACTGGTTCTCTAATCTTCTTCGTGAACTCTCTCTAACGCAGCTCAATTTACCAGTTATATATTGTGACAATTTTGGTGCTACTGATCTTTGTAAAAATCCTGTGTTCCATAGTAGGATGAAGCATGTAGCCATTGACTTTCATTTTGTTCGAGACCAAGTTTCCAAGGGAGAAATTGTCGTGCGATATATACCAACAGGTGAACAATTAGTGGAGGTCCTCCAACAAGTCAACAAGATTGGTCTTCTTTCCATCCAGCCCTTCTTACGGGTCATGATAAAGGGATTCCAAATCATAACAGCTTCTCATTATCCACGTGATTCAGTTAGTTGTAAATTGCTATCAACTAGAGTCCTAGTTTTTGACATTTTAACTCTTGTGTAAATATCTATTGTGCTTATCTACTTAGATTTGGATTCACTAATCCATTGAATATATGTACGCAGCAAAGGCAATGGAAAAGGCGTCACTTTCAGCAACTATTTTTGTTCCTATACTCTCTTCGTCTTCTACCTTTTTTTTAGATTGAACAAGAGTGTGTGAGACATGTAATATATGTATATCACATTATATATTATGTATATCATATACGTAAATTTTTAATGGACAATACCGCTGTATATTATGTTATATATTCTTATGTATATCAGTATACACATACACATTTTTTTCATGAATATACACAAATTTGTATGTTATACATGAGATAAACTAATATAAAATGAGATATACATTGTAAATACATGGAGATATACACATGATACAATGTGGGAAACGCATATCGAGTCAGTTCAACCTCGAGTTTTCAATATGAAATTTAGCTCAAATTTACCTCAAATCGTGTACAAATATCTCCAAGATTGATATTCAAGATCCTTAAGATTTTTGCAAAAAAAAAAAAAAATGATATTATCAAATTGAGGGAAGAAAAAAAAATTACTAATATGCAAATCATAAAATTTGAACCAGGTTTCAGTGATCTTTAATGGTTCTTCAAAATCGGAATCTTTCTCTACATGCATAGATGAATTATGGATAATGTCGAAAGGAGATAAATATATCTGTCTCCAAACGCAAACTTCAAACAAATACAAGTCGAAAAGGTGATTGATCGAAGGTAAAAAAGAATTATTAGATTATATCGATAATTCACAAAAACCAAAAGAGTTTATTGCCAGATCTAGAGCCATGGTTAAGGTTGTACAAAGAAACCGACAAACCGCAACAACCCGATAATTCGAGTCAAACCGAGAAAAAAACCCGACTATGGTTTGGTGTTGGAAAAAAAATCCGACCATAATTGGTTTGGTTTGGTTTTAACTAAACAAAGTCAAACCGAAACCAAACCAACTCGACATTACATATATAAATTTTTTAGATATATTTAATATATAAATATACTTATTGTGATGTAATTTATAAATAGTTCTTAAAAATTTTCATAATTTTATCTTTTAAAGTATTATTTCAAGGTTGGACTTAGAACTTTTGAATGTTCCAATAAATTTTATAGTCATTAATATTAGTAAATAAATAATGCTAACAAAAATTCAAACCAAAAATCAAATCAATACTAATACTAACAAAAGACATTCAATTCAATACCACGAATGGTAATGTATTGAATATCTATGTTTTGTTTGCAAGAATTTAGAATAAAATGCATAATATATTTTTATTTTTTCTTTAGCGTTTAGTCATGTAATTAATACTCCCTTATTAGTCTACTTATTTTAGCACGACTTAGTACTTTTAGATTATGTTTATTTTTATTATGCTTTTTTAATTAGCATATTTATATTACATAATTTTATTGTCTTTATTGTTGAATATTTTAGGATAATGCCATGACACATCTCATATTTTGTATTATTTTCTTGGAATTGTATCTTACTAGGATTAAAGAAATATTTTGAGCACAATTTATATGTTTTGTTCTATGAAGATTTTACTGGAAAAAACCCCCGAAAAAACCCGAAAAACCTGAAAATCCGAGAAAATCCGGGAGTAAAAAACCCGAGTTTTATTAGTTTGGTTTAGTTTTTAGATTTAATAACCCGACACAATTGGTTTGGTTTGATAATTGTAAAATCCGAACCAACCCGACTTATGTACACCCCTAGCCATGTAAAAATAGCACGGTCTAGCCAGTTTTCGGATTGGTCATTCAAAAATAGCCAACATTTACCAAGTCAATAAAAAATAGCCACTATTTTGCTGCAATAGAGACCGGTCCAGTATAATATACTGTAGTTCGGTGCACCTGTGTATGAACTTACAGCATATTATGCTGGACCGGTATATTTTGCTGGCTCCAGTATAATATACTGTAGTTCGGTGCACCTGTGTATGAACTTACAGCATATTATGCTGGACCGGTATATTTTGCTGGCTCCAGTATAATATACTGGAGACTGGAGCACCGGTGCTTCAAACTCCAGTATATTATACTGGAACTCCAGTATATTATGCTGGAATATTTTTCCAAATTTTGAACAGTGTTTTCGTTCAGATTTATCTTTACATGAAAAATGGCTAAATTTTTGTTACTTTTAAAATTGGGCTATTTTTGAAGGACTACTTATAAATCTGGCTATTTTTGAATTTCTCCCGGGTATAATAATAGAGAGATTTGGCAATAAAGATTGAGAGATTTGGGAAAGCAATTAAAAAAAGAAAGGTTAGAAGAGAGAGAAGGGCGGGCAAATATTCTGAAGCTATTTTTAAGGACAAGGATTTTGGTTATAACAATTAATTTTTAAAGGTAAAAATCTGATGTAATATGCCAATAACTATAAAATGACTATTTTTGCAATTTAATGTTGGCAGTTGTCACTGTGTGTCAATTTTTCCTTGAAGAGATCAGTTATGCGTATGGGTCAAAATCTGATCGTAGTGGGCGCCCCCAATAGCAATGATGGAGGGTCAATCAAGTTGGGATCCCGCTCAGGTAGCGAAATAGCGAAGAACACCTCAGCCATCCTCGGGATCAAATCATCGAAAGCATACATCAAGTTAATACTGTGTTCGAGTGATGACGAAAGAGACAGTCGCAAGAAAGCATGTTGGTCAAAGACCATTGAATAAAAGTTCTAGGAACTATATATATATATATATATATATAGGGGGGTAAGCTCAGAAAAAGGGGGAATTTTTTAAGGAAAAAGAAGAGCAATAGATGGGAGGAAAAACATAGAAAATAAGAAGGGGAAAGAAGGATCTCTTGCGGTTGAACAATTGCCTCACCTTTTCCTCTTTACTCCTTCATTTACAATTCTTTTTGGCTTCAGATGTACGCTCATCTCGCGTGTTTGATGTAAGATTATCGCATCAATAAATTTAATAGGTTTCTACCTTTCGTTGTTTCTCGTTGTACATGTTTGGATCTGAAGTTAATTATGTTCGGCTAAGATTTACCTTCCTTATTATTGATAATTGAAGTTGACAAAAAAGTTTTAAATTTTTTGTTCAAATACGTTGGAGGCCAGCTTTTAAATCGGTAACTACAGTTTAGCCACTATTTTAAATAAAATATGAAAAAAAATACTTTTTAATGTGAAAATAAAATTTGAACAAAAATATCCTTTCTTAAAACATACAAAAACTTTAGAAACCACTACTAAAGTTTGAATATTTACTGGTTCTACTTCGATGAATAATTCCTAAAATTCGAAATTTGTAGCTGAAAATCGAGGATAATTACTGGAGTTTAAATTTTTTCTGTTCAAACTCCAAGAACATTTGGGTAGTTTGAGTTTACTGTTTTCCTCGATTTATTTTTTATAATATAATACCATGACAAGAGCATATGAATTCAGCAAACGCTGTTGATTGCTTCAATGTTGTATTTGTGTTGTCTACGTGGTTGTGTATCTTGTGCTACTTCAAACACATTAAACTTGCATTTTCCATCTCAACTATTTTCGATGTCTAAAAAGAAGAGAGTAGCAGACAAAATAGGGGTTTTTAGTAGTTGGAGACTTTCTAGCAAAGTATGATTAAAGAAAATGACTACATATAGAAAATCAAATAAAAGGATAAGTGCATCAGTAGCTACTTTTAATTATGCTATTTAAATATATTCACAATTTATGATGTATTTAAAAATTAGCCAATTTACTCAAATTTCAAAATTAAGTATTCTGAATTTTTGTATCCTAAAATTTGAGCTACTAATTTGAAATATAGGACTTAGTGTCCTGAATGTTTGAACTGCTAATTTAAAATTCAGGATATAAAATTCGAATTTTTGAACACAATTCTAAACTTTAGGACACAATGTCCTGAAGTTTAAACTTTGAAATTTAAATACATAGGTTAATCATCAAATACATTATAAATTGTGAATATATTTTAAACAACATACTTAAAAGTGGCTACCTTGTGTCATTGGTTGCAAAGACTAAATTGAGAGTTCCATGTAGTTGGACTTTTGGGCTGCATTGGAGATGCCAGTTGAGTGAAGAAAAAACTGAAAATCAGTCAATCATTTATATGTTCAAACTCTAGTACTTTTTGGTGGAGTTTATTTTGTCAATGTTTAGAACTTCAACATATGATGTTGGAGTGATGCATATAGGGGAATTTGAAACTCTAGGAACTGTTTCCGAAATTTGAACTTATAACTATTTAAATTAGTAATCGTACATAGAGTTTTTCGTATTATAACTAGGTTATTTTGATCCAACTATTATTTCGTACCAAAAGAATCGCAAAATACTACTACTAATAACTTTTTAAATGTCAGCTAAATTGGGGTTAAATTGGCTATTTTTCAATATTTTCCTACCCTCTTCCCTGGATCATGATTATCACGTTTTGAAGCAACGCCATTTGCTGAATCATAGACCCCTTAACTTTATCTGCTGCTAACACGTGAACGGCTATGATAGTGAATAGTGATAGCGACCCTTAAATTATCTTTTTAGATTAATCTTCTGACGTGCCTGTACTATGTTTCCTCCACCTTAGCAGCTAAGTTAAAGTCGCTGTATTTAGCCGATCTACTCTCCTCTCTTCATTTTCAGTCATCAAATCACCAAATTCTCTCTCAAGAACCAGCATCTCTGACACCAAATGAGTTACCAGCATGTTCATGAAGGTCCCTACCCACCCCCAGGTATGTTACTATTTCAAATACCCAATTTCAAGATTACCCCTTTTTCAACATTTGTCTATTGATCGTTTTAATTCTACCTGTCTGTTCTTGTATTTTTCTCTTCTTTTAGGCAAGGTATAATATCAATAACAAGATCACCAAAGATTCAACCTTTATTTACCAAAGACTTCACCAGTAAATTGGTCAACTTGATTGTTCTAGTTCTACTTGTCTGTTCTTGTGTTTTTCATTTCTTTTAGGCAAGTTGCAATAACAATACAATTTCAAGAACACCCAAGTTTCAACCTTTGTCTACCAAAATTACTCTTTTTAAAAAATAAAATAAAAAATTGGTTATTTGATTATTTTGGTTATTTGACAGTTCTGATTTTACGCTTGTTTGTTCTTCTAATTATCACTTTTTTTGGGGTTAGTTACAATACGAATGCCTAATTGCATGATCAGTACCCGAGTTTCAATTTTTGATACTAAATTACTACTACTAGTGGATTGGTCAATTAACTGCTGTAAATTCAACTTGTCTGTTGTAATTTGACAAATTTTTAGGGTATGGACCACCACCACCTCAACCACAAGGATACCCTCCACCGGGGATGCCATCACCACCAGGGCTTTACGGTGGAGGCGGCTACCCTCCTCCACCACCACCTCCTGGACCCCACAGTTATCAAGGCTACTTTAATGATCAATACCCTCCACCACCACCTCAGCACATCTACCATGACCAGGGTGGTGGCTATTATCATGGTGATGACAATGGCTGTTCTTCATTCCTAAAAGGGTGGTATGTCATCTCTCACTCTCTTTCTCCTATATATTTGATTTTTTGTTTGTTTATAACACTAGTGTCCGGGTTAGTTGATATTAGATGTTTCACCATTTTGCTTCAATGTGTTGAATGTTGACTAGATTTCCCTTTACCGAACATTTTCTATCATGGGTTATATCTGAATGAGGATTCATATGCCCGACCGCAACTTTCTTAGGACTGAGGCATAGTTGTTGTTGGTTATATCCATACGGTTTTCAACTGATTCTAAATGGATATTTTCTACAAGAGATATTTGGGCTTGTTCTTAAAAGAAGAGGTCTTGTCGAATCATAAAACAACAAATGGGCCAGAGTAATAAAGATGCCTTTTGGGGAGAAAGTGATATGAAGGAAAAACAGCATATTATTCCTGTATCTGGTCATGGAACTTCGTCATCAGTTAAAATCTGTGCTACCAGACCAGAATAAACAATTCGATTTATCTGACTAAACCTTTCAGGTTCCATTAGAATTTGAATTTTTTTAAGGTCCAGCTGCTACCCTCTTCTCTCTATTTCAATTTGGAAAATTAAATTTTATTTGAAAGGCATTAATGCAACATATTCTGTACTCCTGCAATTGATGGCCAGAAGACAAGCTAGAGTTGATAATATGTGGGGATATTGCTTCATTTGTGATCATTTTGTATTGGGGAAAATAGTGATGTATGTGCAATTTTCAAGTCGTAGAGAACTTGGTGTTTGGAGGATAGTCATCAGGAACTGGAGTTAGTGGTGAACCCATATAAATGGAGGATGAGAGTTTGAAAGATGATTAACTGAACGCTAACATGAGAACCATTCTTTCTCTTAGGTGTATTTGGATTTATTGATATCAAGTTCTGTTTTGTGGCAAAGGGGTATTAGATTGGTATTCACAAAACTCGCCTTAGTTCAAAGTAGAAGAAAGAAAGCTAGGAGGGCCCCGTCACCTGTGCTGGTCCACATGGACTCCTTGGGGCATGATTCTTAGGTTCCTTGAATTTCATCCAAGTTTTTTAGTCTAAATTTTGTCTCTACATATGTTGCTTATATCTGCTATTCTTTCGCCGCATAGGCTGCTTTTGGTAAAAATGCAGTGGGTGAACAGTGGTGGTATTGAGTTCAATAAAATAATTCTTCTGAAATCTGCCCACTCTTACTAAATAGCAAGTTGACTGCAGAGAAGTCCTTATGAAATATGCACCTGTTTTGCAAAAACGCGTCATCATTATGATGAATTACTTCTGATGTCAATTAAAAAGGGGATAGAATCTAAGTATAGCTGCGAGAATAAGGATCTCTCTCCGTTGTAAATCTTTTCATGTTATTCAGTCATCGTATAAGAAAAGAGTTCAATAAGTAAACAAATAAACGAACATAAAAAGATGAGGGGAGGCTATTCTGCTATTCTTGAAATGAATAGGTATGTTCAACTAGTTATTTGAACTATTCAATAAGAATAGGGATCTTCAATGCTAGAAATGACATAACTCTCTTTCTGAATGTCTCGACTTTCTTTCTCAAACCACCACACAGGGATGCGGAAATAGCAACAATTAATGGTAGAGCGGAAATTGCTTATGATTTGATTTCGCCTGAAACGAATCCCTCGCTTTGATAAGAAATATCTGAGTAAACAACCTTTGAGCTGAGGTAATATTCCATTTTTAGTGCTTACTGAATGAGTTGTTCAAGCAAGCAGACATTGGGGACCTAGCTCTTTTTTCGGGTCATCCTCATAAGTGTAGCCATCAGCTCATATGTAGTATGAACATCAAGTTTTGGTTAATGACAAGCTGCAAAAATGAGTGACATGCATTCTTTCCATTTTTCCTGGTCTGAGACATTCTACCACATTCGGTGCAACTTAAGCTTTCAAGTCTTTGGGAACTTGTGTTTGAAGAGTAGTGGTGAGGAGGAATTAGATTGCTGATCAACCCATGTAAAATGAAGGGGCTGAACTTTGGTTAGGTTGACTAGATCCCGTATGATTAACCTATTAACAACAGAAGAATCATTTTATTCTTTTGCGTTGGAGGGTTCTAGATAGGTTCATGATGGAACCCACATGGATCAGCCTAGTTGAGGTTCTAGTTACGAACTTATATAGAGGGAAGTGAGGAGAAGAGCTCCATCACTTGTTGCGTCCCACATCTACTTCTCTGTGCCTTTTTTTTACTTCTCTGTGCCTTTTTTTTGGCAACATACGACTTCTAGGTAAACAATGCATTTGCTGAACTGTATTAGTAATGAGTACAAAAACATAGTTCTGCGGCCTACTCTTAGTTGGTAGTGAGTCACAATTGCTGGAATATGCTTATAAACTATGCATCTGATGTCTGATACATGACATATTATAATTAATTCCTTCTGATGCAAATTAGAAACAGGGTAATATTGTGAGCATAATCTCTTCTAATGTGGAGGTTTTTTCTCATGTTATTCAGCTATCGCATAGAAAATGAATTCGACAAGTAAATAATACAGGGAATAGTACTACCTGAATGAAAATGTTCAGGCAAGCAGATTCTCGGAACCTAGTTTTCTTGTTTTTCCCCCTCACATGCATAGGCATCAGTTCATTAGTTCTACAAGATTTGTTTATTCCTGGTTGCAAACATTGTCGACCTACAAGCAAAACTCAGTTGTCATTTCTATCTTCTTCTGTTTAGCAGTTCAACATAATTGTCAAGGTGTTTTAGTTCTTTCTTGATTAAGACAGCCATTATTGGTTTGATAACCAAGAAATCTCCAAGTGTCAGCCAGCGGCTAGCGCACAATATGAAGCTTGGAGAATAATTGCCCATTCTTCCTCTGCCCTTGTTCACTGAAATACTAGTTTTTTTGGTCTGAGGTAGAGTTCGAGCTCGTGAGGTGTGCCTAACCCACACTTGCGCGCTGCGCTCTTGCCACTGGACCAGAACCTCGGGAGCTAATTAAGATGGCCATTATTGCTGTCATAGAGAACCATTTTCCTCAGACTTCAACTATAATGCCCATACTTAGAGTTTCTTACTTGCACTGGGATATACATGAAGAACGTCAATCCTGTGTTTGCGTATGAATCAGTCAGCCATTTGTTCATCTTGTAGCTACTAGCACCAATTACTTTTGCCCCTCATTAGTTTTTCGTGAAACTACAAGAGGTTTTTATTTCTATTCTACTCATTGTTCATGAAAAAAGGGCAGCCCGGTGCACTAAGTTCCCGTTATGCGCGGGTTCCGGGGAAGAGCCGAGAGGGTCTATTGTACGCAGCCTTACCCTGCATTTCTGCAAGAGGCTGTATCCACAGCTCGAATCCGCGACCTCCTGGTCACATGGAAACAACTTTGCCAGCTACGCCAAGGCTCCCGTTCATGAGTGCTTTAAAATTCTTTCATCTTGTGGCTTAAAGCTGCATCTAGTGCTGTTCATAAATTCTTTGTGAACCTGTCAGGGGCTTCTTTTTTCCTACTCCTTTTTCTGTTGCAAACTTTAGCTTCAGAATTGGTGTCCGATCTATTTCTTAAACTCTTTGTTGATATGAGCGGGAGACTAAATTCCAAGGAGTAAGAAGAATTTAATCGGCAAAAGATAGCATTACAGAGAGTTCCTAAGGTTGCCCTTGGATCAGGTAGAAAGAGGTATCCAAGTGCATTTTCAAGGTTTAGCTGCAGAAATCTTTTCTTGAATTAGTTACATCTCAACCTGTGACCATACTTATAGCGCGAGTAAGTGAATCTGCATAGGCTACTGCAATGCTCATGCTCTATCTCTTATGCGTGTTTGAATTCTTGCTTTTCGAGAGAGCAAGAGCATACAAAGCCAAAACGTAGAAGAAAAATGAGAAGATAGAAAGGAGAAGTTGGCTAAGAAAATGTTGAGCATCTCACATGCAAAATAGAGGGAAAAACAAGGTAATAAGGTGATACTTGATAAAGATGACGAAGAAGATGACACACACACACACACACACACCAGGAGTATATATTTCTGGGTTGTGAAGGCTTGTTCTTTACATTTCATTTAGTCGTGTCATTCATAGTGTGTTTTGAAAGCTGATCGTTTCTGCAGTTTGGCTACTCTGTGTTGTTGCTGTCTCTTGGAGGAGTGCTGTAGATGCTTCTAGTTGGCTGGTTGCCGGCTACCAAATGCTATTGGTTTGTCAAATTGCTGTTGATTGTGGATTTCTTAAAAATGTCAGCAGACTCCGCTCTTAAAACTTTTATATTACATATGCACGAAGAACTTGTACTGCAACACTTCTATTGTTATCTATTTTGTCCAGTTGTTATCTGAAGAATGCATCCCTAGCTCTTTGGCAAAAGTAATATTATGATACAAGTATGTAATCGACAACTTTTGGCTTCTGTATTTCGAGCTTTTCTTAAGGTGTAATCTTCTTCTTACAATATCAAAACTATTTAAGTTAAAATACTATTAGAATGATTTATTTTGTACTTTGTGCGATTATCAGAGGTAGTGAGTTTATATCTAATCAAAAAGTAGAAAATTGCCAATAAAATAATGTTAGATACAACTTTTTTATGGATATTTTAGCTGTTGAAATATTCTATAAACTTTTTTTTGCTATGCTATCAATGTTGGATTGATTCGTTGTAAAATCTTTTTACAATTCTAGAATACGTTATTATAACATTAGTGGCTCCTTCTTGCTGGTTTGTGTACAGGTTCAACAACCGCCTATTTTGCTAGTTCTTTTTTTTTTTTTAATTTAATTATTAATTATTAATTTTTAGCTAGGGTTTACATTTCACATTTTAAAATTATATAAACTAAAGCACAAAAAGACCTAATACATATAATTTCGAACAGCAATAGATGTATGCCTTGTATAGGAACAATCTATATGCTAAATATAATCTCGTATTTAAGATAGTTTACTTGTAAGTAGTGTCATAACCACAATTATTTGTTAGTTTTATTTTGCTTTTAATGAAAAGAAATTGTCTTGTTTGATTTTCAGAAACACAGACAGAATTGTTTGACCACCAAAATAATGTAATGTTAAAACTATATAATCCAGTGGCGAAGCCAGGAAATTCAATAAAGGTGTTTAAATTTTGAGCATCCTTTGTCAGTAGGTTATGTAACGGTGTTCAAAGTCTATTTTTAATCAATAACTAGTATTCTGTTTTACCTTATACGTAACCCTTGGGCCAACCTATCTTCGCCCCTGAAATAATCTTAAGAGGGGAATTTATTCGTTTTTAACTTTTCAAATCATGAAATCCCAATATCAGATATGAATAGAATAACAATGATAAAAAAGGAAATTAGCAACAGTGGGATTACCTTCGACACTCAAATACTACGTTGTTACTTGGCCAACAAGTTACTTTTTTAGATAAATGACACAGGTCAGCAAGTAAATTTTTCCTATAAAGTCTATCATCTCTGTTGAAAAAGAGGTTTCATCCTCTCCTACTTCCAGTCCTAAGTTACACTCATTTCAATGAAGAAATCAACACAATCTCTAAAATCCATAGTGTCTTCACTTATTGGCCCTCCAGAAATCTATGTTAAACAAACATCTTCATCCACCATTCCACAATCTGCAGCCTACACTGTAAGCAGTCCCTTTATGGACTTGATGGTTTCAAATTTCAACTCCACAAAAGCACAACCCCCTAATATGGGCTACACTGAAAATATGTCACCTACCTGTCTTTCTACTATTAACCCTTGTTTAGATTTCTTCTTTCACGTTGTTCCTGATACTCCACCTCCATCCCTTACTAAATATTTGCAATGTGCATGGGATCATGATTCTTTAACCGCCTTGAAACTAATATGCAATTTGCGCGGTGTTCGTGGCACTGGCGAATCTGACAAGGAAGGTTACTACACTGCTGCCTTGTGGCTTCATAGTCTCCACCCTAAGACCCTTGCCTGTAATTTAGAGTCGATGGCGAATTTCGGGTATTTCAAGGATTTGCCTGAGATTCTATACAGGCTACTTGAAGGAGCTGATGTGAAAAAAAACTAAAAAAGAATGGAGAAGGAGAAAGTTAAACGGAGAACCGTTTAGACTTAGAGCTCAGAGACCATTTGGAGAACCTAAATTATCTTATGAGAAGACAGTTGAAATTAAGAAACAGAAGAGAATAGAGATGGCCAAAAAAGTTGTTGAGAGGTATAGACATGATCGTGATTATAGATTCTTGCATGAATGTGTATCTGATCTTTTTGCGGATTACCTGAAGTTAGATCTTGAGTTGTTGAGAACTAGGAAATGGAGACGGATCAGCCTTACAGCTAAATGGTGTCCTTCTCTAGATTCGTCTTTTGATAAGAGAACACTTTTATGCGAAACCATTGCAAGGAAGGTATTTTCAAGAGAGTCATATCATAAATATGAAGGAATTGAGGATGCACATTACGCGTATAGAGTGAGGAATCGATTGAGGAAAGAAGTTCCAGTGCCCTTATGTGAAGCTCTGGAGTTGCCTGAGGTTTATGTTGGGCAAAATGATTGGGGTTGGATTCCTTACAATAGGGTGGCCTCAGTTGCTATGGAATTGTACAAAGACAAGTTTTTGAAACATGACAGATATAACAGTATCTTGAGAAAGTAAAACAAGGAAAGGCCAAGATTGTTGCAGGTGTGCTGCTGCCTCATCAGATAATAAAGAAATTTTTTGGTCCGTGGAAGTGCAAGGACGAGCAAGTTACTGAGTTGCAATGGAAGAGAATGGTAGATGACTTGTCCCAAAAGGGGAAACTGAAAAATTGTCTTGCTCTTTGTGATGTCTCGGCCAGCATGCGGGGTAGTCCAATGGAGGTTTCAGTGGCGCTAGGAGTTCTCGTTTCAGAATTAAGTGTCGAGCCTTGGAAAGGGAAATTGATAATATTCAGCAAGAAACCAAAGCTTCAACTAGTTGAGGGGGAGGATTTAAGGTCCAAGGTTGGGATTGTGAGAAAAATGGATTAGGGAATGAACACTGATTTTCAAAAGGTGTTTGATCTAATACTACAAGTAGTTGTGGATAGGAAACTTAAGGAGGATGAGATGATAAAGAAACTCTTTGTGTTTAGTGATATGGAGTTTGATAAGGCCTTTGCTAATCCATGGGAGACAGATTATGAAGCTATTGTTAGAAAATTTAGTGAGAAAGATTATGGGAATTGCATGCCCCAGATTGTGTTTTGGAATGTCAGGGATTCAATAGCTACACATGTGATTGCAAACCAGAAAGGAGTTGCACTAGTGAGTGGGTTTTCAAAGAATTTGTTGAAACTATTCTTGAAAGAAAGGGACTTTCATCCTGAAGCTATCACGGAAGCAGCAATTTCTGGGAAAGAGTATCAAAAACTAGTTGTTCTTGATTGACGTATCAAACTTGAGAAGGTTAAAGTGCATGGAAAATAATTCAATTGGACAGATTCTGTTGATGAAAGCTTTTACAATTGACTGGATACTTTGTTGATGTTGTTAGGACAGTTTTCTTTGTGGCATTATCGCCAAGAACTTGAAATTTAGCACACTACAAGATGGTTATTTCTTGTGAAGAAAGTGAGTATAAGCTTCGGTTGATTTTAATCCCTTTTCTGTCACGACTCCGATTCGCCCTCCGTGAACCATCGTGACGGCACCTAGTCCTACGACTAGGTAAGCCTAAATTGCGGAAGATAACCCAAGTTGCGGAAGTAAAATAATTTAAAATAGAATTAAAAAAAATAATAAAACAGTTTTTAAAAGTGCCGCTCGGCATACATAACATTTAACTCTCAGAAACCAATACATATCTCCAAGACCCGGAAACCCATGAACAATCTAAGGATCACTGCACAAACTAACTCTAGAATATCTAACAAGGGAAAGAAATACAAAAGGGCAAATGTTTAAAAAGCTAGAATAGAAAGGGACTCCTCGGTCTGCGGACGCGGCAGATATACCTCGAAATTGCTGGAGCAGTCGCCTCGCCTCAAGGGTGATAGTACCGAGTCGCAGTACCTGGATCTGCACATGAAAAACATGCGCAGAAGGGGTATGAGTACACCACAACAGTACTCAGTAAGTGCCAAGCCTAACCTCGGTCGGGTAGTGACGAGGAAAGTTAGGGCCCTACTGATGTTAAATAAAGTATAAAGTTTGACAGTGTAGAGCAGAACAGTATAAATAAATACAACAGTGAAAGTAACAGAGGATATAAAAAGGGCAACAACAACTATTAAAGAGACAAGGCAAAACACAGAAAGAAATGCGACTTAGCACCAAAATAACAACCGAGGATCTCCCAGGATACCATCATGTAGTTCCATATGTATATATCCAATGGATCTCCCGGGGTCCCCGTCCCATAGTCCAACTCATAGTGCGCGGAGATCTACCAAAATTCCGTTCCGTAGTCCTAAATGTAAATACCCAGTACTAGAAAAATCTACCAGGTGCATTCCCATAGTTCAATATAACTGTGTAGGGGGATCTACCAGAATTCAACATTCGTAGTCCCAAAATAAACAGACAATGGGGAGCTATCAGAATCCCACATCCGTTGTCCTAAAATAAATACACAGCAGCAACGGAAAAATATACAGAAATGACAAAATTTCATATTAAGGAAACAAGTGATTCTAGCCTAGCATGGTACACAGAATTCAAGTAAGACAGTTTGAGCAAGTAAAGCAATTAAGTCACTTAGACATGCTTTCCTAAGCTAACAACATGCTTAATAGTGCAAGTAATAACAATAGGAAAGGAAACATACTAGTAGTTACTTAAAGAAAATCGGATTTTCAACAATTAGCACAAGTATGCACTCGTCACCTCATGTACAAGGCATTTCAATTACCAAATATACCAAATCCTAAGGGGAAGGTCCCCCACACAAGGTTAGACAAGCCACTTACCTCGAACCGGCTCAATAATCAACCCGAAACCACGCTTTTGCCACGAGTACTCGACTCCAAATGGCCCAAATCTATTCAATTCAATTGCATAATATAAATAACACTTCAAGTAACTGATTCTACAAAGAAATTCTAAGCTAATACGCGAAATTAGGTAAAATGACCAAAATGCCCCTCGGGCCCACGTCTCGGAATCAGGTAAAACTTATATTTTTAGAATCCTCATACTCCCATGAGTTCATGCATACCAAAATTATCCAACGGTCAAATTCCCAATCAAAAGTCGAATTCTGGGTCTAAGAACTTTCTTCCAAATTTTCCCCAATTTTCATCTCCAATCCGAAATTAAATGATGAAACTAACTATAGATTGATGGAATATAACTAGAAAGGGTTAAAGAATCGTTACCTAATGATCTCCTCTTCAATTTCCTCTCAAAATCGCCCTCTCCCGAGCTCCAAATCGAATTTCCAACTTTTGAAACTAAACCTTCGATATTTCATATTTTTGCCCAGCTGTTTCCGCATCTGTGGTCCTGTGACCGCTTCTGCGGTCCCGCATTTGCGGAACAATGG